ATGTAGAAATATATATTTAATATCCATTCTACATATATATCTTTAAAAGTTAATGAAAAAATCATGAAAAAAACCTAAGCATGGATTTCAAATTATTTTGCACAAAAATAAAGATGTAATAAAGATGTCTTTTTATTCAGTTTTTCTATCAATTTTTGAAGACTTACTATAAACATTTAATATAATGCATGTGAATAACTAAACATATAAGTAGCTAAAAATTCGATTCATCTAATTAATAAGCACTCTGGGTTTCATTCTTATCATCAGCTATGCTAGGTATTGTAAGAGAAATAAGTATAAGATATACAGTATATACAATGTGTTATTCATTATCTAGTAAAGGAGCATCTTCATTAAAATAAGTTAAATTTTCTATCAGTCATTCTTCATCTTTGATTTATCTTGAAGATGGTGCTTCCCAGTTATCTCCACTACATAGTAATTATTTTCCCTAATTAGTTTCTGGGACATCCACCAAAGTTGTTATTTTTCTCAGGAAATAACTAGCTACTAGTTACTTTACTTAGTAGTTTTAACCTTCATTGATTATCTTTTCTGACTCAATTATTGGTAATGCTGATTGAAAATGTGTTGTCTTAACTTTATCATTGTTTTAAATTTATAAGTTGTCAATTGGTATAAAATGCTTTATCTCTTTCTTAATCATCCATCCACCTATCCATCATTGTTAATGCATAAAATTTTTTATTCAATGACTTAAACTTCATTATTTTTAATGCTTAATTCTCCCATATTTGGATGTTTCAAATGTATTCTTCTGTTCTATCAACATGTTCCTGTCATTTTGGGCACTTCCTAAATTCTAATATTGACAAAAAGTTTTTACTTATCCTTGGACATTCTTCAATTCTACCACAAAGCTACCATTTCTGCCACATGATCTGATATTGATAAACAAATATCTTGATTTTAAATAATTTACATTTTGTGATAATGTATATTTTATCATGATTTTAATCATAATATATCAAGAATATCTGTTATCTTCATTTAACTTAAAGAATATATAATTTGGGAAAACATATAACTTTCTATAGAGGGTAGTACATTGTTAAGATTCATTTTTTAAAATTTTTATTTAAGTTATACAAGTTTCATGTATTTCTTGTAAACAGATTTAGGAACATAGTGATACTTCCTGCCCACACCCTTTCTCCCACCCAAGCTCCAATCCTCCTTCTTCCTCCCGCTCACATTCCCACTCTTAATTTTTACAAAGATCTATTTTCCGTTTACTTAATGATCGTATAGTTAACCCTACACTAAGTAAAAGAGTTCAACAAATAGTATGAAGAAAAAATACATTTTTCCTCAACAGAAGAGACAAGGGCTGTAAACAATCATCGAATCTCAAACTGTCCATTTCACTCCTAAACATTGCATTTTAGGTATTCTATTAGTTACCTCAGATCAGGGAAAACATGATATCTTTTTGTTACTGGCTTATTTCATTAAGTATAATGATTTCCAGTTGCATCCATTTTGTTGCAGAAGACAAGATTTCATTATGTGCTCCAAGGGGAGCACATAAACAAGACTAGTGTCTGCAAATACTAGCTGATAGAATAAAAAAGGGAGAGAACGATCCAACATGGGAAGCAAAATACACAGCAGACCCATAGAATGGCAGATGTCCTAACAGCACTCTAGCCTCAGAATCAGCCCTTAAGGCATTTGGATATGGCTGAAAAGCCCATGAGAGTAT